CATCAGCGTGTCGTGCGGCCAAACCAACACAATTAGACTATTAGCTTACCTTACTATATGGTGTTAACTCTACATGTGATGGACTCAGTCTGGTACGGCCAAGGACCTGAACAGATTCCTGCATATAAAGATCTTTAATATGCCTCCACACAATGTCCTGGCCACCTCGGCGCATATGCTTCTTCCCACCAACTTTTGATGCATATAACGAGTTTCGAACAGTCTGAACAAATGAAAAAAAGACTGTTGAAAATTAACGCATCATGGTAAACCTTATACAATGCCATTTGCCCATTTCTTTTATTACCTTGATCAAATGTGATGGATCAGAACATAGGTATATGTTCCTGTCAGAGTCGCATATATTAGGAGCAAACAATACACCATCACAAGGCAATTCCAAGTTGCCACTTAAAAGTTGGAAAAAGCGACGGTTGGTACTGTGACCATCTGCGATTACAGCAAGGATCTTTACGCTTCGGCTCTCACATTCAATTAAAAGTTCCCAAAACACCCGACAAAGCTTGGAGGCTGGGGAGTTACGGGTTGCATACCACGCCAAAGGAATCGACAGATCTCGCTTCACGGTTCTAACGTAGAATACTGAAGAAACATGTAGAACATTAATACTGCGTTACATAAAAAGTCTACCGTAGTAAAACCCCAGTAACAACTTACCTAAAATGTGTGAAGCAAGCTGGTCATTATTGCCATTCCTTGCCATTTCTTTGTCAACGAAACCAATCAATTTGCCGTTACGACAGACCAGATTTTCTCTAACTGTATCAGAGATTCATATATATGACAATGATGTAAGATTGTAAATAAAAATTAAAGTGAGCTTACCCTTCATCTCATCGAGAGCAACAAATCCAATCAATGAACCCTTGTCTTTGATGACTCTCTCCATTTCTTTCAATGCCAGTTTGTTAATCCCAGATTGTGGTGGAATGACATTTCTGCAAAAATAAAAAATAAATCAGCAATCGCGAGTCACTGACCAATGTATGATATAATAAGTAGACAGATAATAGACAAAATATTTTTTTTAAATAGACTGAAAGAAAACAACATGGCCAAATGGTTATCAAAGTTAATTTAAATTCACCATAGTACACCCCAACAATTGTCAGAAGCATTACATTTACCTGTAGCGATTCAAAGTGCTTGGGGAAGGGAGAGTCAGCACCTGACTTGTTCGCAGATGATCATAGGCAGAAGGCGATCTGCAATAGAGTTCCATAGCCCAACATCACATCTGGATGGTACCGACGTGAAGAGGGGTGAGCATTGGAGTTGGCAAGCTGCTGACCAAAAAACATTTGCTGCCAAGTATTCAAGATGGAACTTTCAGAAGCGAAAGTGGCCTGTGAAAATATTCACAAGTCAGTCATACAATTAATCTCTTGAGTCTAGTACATTAAAAATTATTTGATCGTGAAATAAAACAAAAAGTAAACATGACCTTGATCATATCATGCACAGTATCATCAACTTGCAACATGACCTGGCTTGGATGGTGTTCTTCCTCGTCATTTTTGAACTGTTCTGACATGCAGCTGCTGCACATTGGGCATCCAATTGACACATCCACTAAAAATATCCTGCAATCATATATATGCTCTCGAGACAGTCGAACAGCGATTTTTTACTAACATACCAATTGTGCTACATGATGTTGACCGATATATATTTTTGATATTAATCTTGTCACCTCCCCACGACAAAACTGGGTGAACCAATGTACTGCCATCCCGCCGATCAATACCGCAACACAACTCCAATTTGCCTAATTTGTCTTAAATGGATAACACAAATTTGAGTTACAGAATAAAACAAAGGTGAACTTGTCAAAAGAAAATGTATACCTAAAACAGAATTCAGAGTATCACATCTGTCAACTCCTAGCTTTGCAATCTCGACTTTCCAGCCAGAAAAATGAGCACTTTGCATTGCACCATCTTCTCCATACTCAACTCTTTTTTCATCATTGTGTAAAATTATTTCAGTTTGTTTTAGATTGATAAGTTGTTAGATACAATTTGGTATGTCATATGGCTCATGGGTATATTTGTGATTTGGTATTTGCAATTTATCTTAGCTATTTACTCTGTACAATCCTGTAGCCTCCTAGTATGAGTTTTAATATTCTGCCATCTAAAAATATTCCCTAACGACAAACTTGCGCTACAATGAAAAACTGCTGAACTTACAATTCATTCTGTCAAACTCAATTACTACTCAAATGACACAGCAACAAAATAATTGAAAACTAAAATGTTATCCTATTCTCTGCAAGTTGAAAACCAAACTATAATTGATAACTTCTGTTTAAAAACAACTACCTTATACTAGGCACGCAGTAATCATCCTTTCTCATCTCTGCAATAAATTTTCCTCGGTGCTCATACAAAGCCCACTTATCTGTATAAAAAGTTCAATCAAAATTTGCTAAACAAGCAAAAAAAATTTCTACAGATGCATACCTTTCATAGATTGCGACAAGTATGAAGTGGCACTGACCAAACTCCTAGTAGATCGATATCGAATTTTTTCCGGCAGTGGTTCACGCACAGCTGGGAGAGGTCTTGTTTTTTCCTGGTACACAGCTGAACTCCTGGGAATTTTTCTGCATGGAACTGCTCCGAGTCTTAAAGAGCTTTTTTTCCCATGCCGAAGTATATCGGTTCCCAGGAAATGGTCTTCACATATTGAGGCCCTAAATATAAAAAGGTAAAGTATATTGGTATAACAATATGAAGATGTCAAAAGCTAGCTATGGTCATTTTGTGCAAAATTTGAATTAAATGCAAAACAAATTAGATGGCTTGGTAGGCTTAGCAAATTATAACGATAAATATACGATAAGAAAAATTAACAAGTATTCCGGGTTTCTGATAATCGACACAGCAGAATTTTTGAACGCAATTACTCAATTATACTATTATAGGCTGTATAAATTTGTTTATATGTTTAATATGCCTAGATAAGTACATTACGTTTCTTTGTGCAGCATAGCCTTGATGTTATCTCCTCTGCTACTGTCTCTCATCGCCAATAAAAAATTGGACAACCCCTCCCGGTGTTTCCTTTCCTGAGGAGTCTTTGCCAGATCGGGCCGAAGAACAGAAAATAGTGTTTTTACAGACTGTCCTGCTTTCCTAGACTTGACATAGGAGTAGCTGCATCCCGGCACTGCACAATGCGTTCCAGCTGGCATAGTAAAAAATATTTAAATCACTTAATATATATATATAACAATACTCACGTATCGATACCACAAATACTTGGTTTGCTTCTTCAAACTGTGTTCCCTCTTCACATAAGTTGAAATAAAGGATTCCTGTGAAAGTACGGCACCTACGATTAGAACTATATGTACCGGTAGATAGATTAGAGCTAAGTTGTCTGCAATACTGTGGTACGGGCCTGAAAGCAAAATTACCGAAAATGAAATAGCAATATCTGAATAATATTATTGCTACTGCTGTCAGTTCAGCAGTTACCGTACCGGTGCCAGGTTATCGTACCGTGTTAGGTCAAGTTCACAGTCTGTGACATAAATATCGCATCGAAACGAAAGCTAGCGTGATTTTTATAGCTAATCTACTCATATATATATATATATACGAAGCGTTACAAAATAACTTAAAAATGCCCGCAGCTTGGGGCAACAAAAAACCTTCGGTCAAAATATTTGGCGGCAAAGTTAAGCGCTGAGAAGGTCATACCTCTTTACTCATGCGGAACTATGACGTCACACAGAGGTGGTATCTCTATGTTGACCCTCTATACTATGTCGGGTATGGGATTAGTTAGCCGGTTATTTGTTTTCATATGCATGGACTTGATAACCGACCAGCGGTGGCGTGAACCACCCTACGACGGCGAGATGATGGCCAAACCCTATCCGCTCATAGAATATATATTTTTTATTAAGGAATAACGTTAAGGTTTAATTAGATGACGTACCACGGTTTCTCGTGCGGTAACTACCGTAGTAATAGAAATATTATCAGCGCAATCCTTCCACCGCTAGAATTATTCCCGACATGCACGAACGCCCACCACTCCCGGTTACCGGAGTAACTGACCACAACAAACTTAGTTAATAATCAAACGATAACGGAGGGGGTTTACGCATTATATTGTTGTCTCCTTCAGCAAATAAGTTGCCAACAGCCAAAATCCTATAGTTATTATTGATAAGTAGTTTCAGAAATTTTATTAGGCCATATAAATCAGATGTAATTGCGAAGCTATCTTGCCGTATTGGCAGTACAGATTCAGATTTTACGTAACAGGGTAGCCTTGTATCAGATTTAAAATTCTGTTTATATCAGTGTATGAAATCAATTAGTCTTTATAACACCACAGTATCTGATGTATTCCAGAAGGGAAAAGAGAGATTTATTGCCACAAATACAAAGTCAACTCCATTATAAACAGAGAAAATAATTTAACGATAATTGAACATAGATTTGAGTTATTAATTTAAATTTGAGGGTTATTACGGGGCAATTTAAGATTTTTAAGAGGTTATGTAGTCAGCGACATGTCAAAAGAAAGAAGTACAACAATCATAAAGAGTTTTCACCTTATATTTTATGAATTAAATAATTGATTAATTCATTCTGTCACTAGTCACAGATCAGTATCAAAAATGTGAAAACAAAGAAATAATATCATCACAGATTCAGTAATATGTAGTACACAGTTCACCGATTTTAAGATATCCCAATATTTGGTTTAATGGTTTTTCTCTGTAACAAAGGCGTTTGGCAACGGCGTCAGATGTGTGGCGGCAGGGGGTTTGAAATCGAGAACTTTGCCGTACTGTCATTAGTTGACAATTTAAGTAAATAAGGCATGGTGAACTGTAACAGTCACTGAATAACGTGTGGTATTCTTAATCAAACTAATTTAACAGAACATTCTTAGTTTAATTCTGTCGCGATGCATCTTTAAGATAATTTATGTACTATAATATGGCTTCATTCTGTTCGTGAAGTTTCAAAAAAATAACGTTTGTGTGCTCCCACTTGTTTCATATTGTTGCATCACAAAGCCAAGTTCAAGGTATGTCATTCCCGACTTCTATCATGTTATTGCGTTGTCACTAAGTTTCTGATATGATAAATTCATGAAGAGGATTGTCATTCTAGGCAGTTTATGTCAATCAGTTAAATAGGAATAAATCATTTGAAGTTTATAAGGATGGGCAATTTACAATATCGAATTCGGAGGATTGAGAATAAAAAAGGATTCGATTTCTGTCTGTTTTAAAAAGGATATTTTTGTAAAAAATTTTCTGGTATATTTTCATTCATTTGAACACTTTTTTATGACACCTCTCTCATATATAGATATATGGGAACACTTGTACATGGCCCTCTTGTTTACAATGCTGCTCTCATATTCACAAGATGAAGTTCAAAATTTGTTGTTTTATTTGAATTTATGGGAACACTTTCATACGACATCTGGCCTTCAATCTACAAACTTTAATTTTCATTCTCTTTTATTCACCAGATGCAGTACATGAATTCATCTCCCGTGATGACCATGATTCTTCAACCAGAATTCAGCCCTGCACCCCGACAACCCAACGCTTATATGGTGATGGCACCCTCGACCCCTCCGCCTGTGTACGGATCATTCAGAAGGAAAGATAAATGTAAGTTTTGTGCTGTCTGTGATAAGCATCATTTACAGTATATTGTTGCATATAAGTCGGGTTTGAACCTCAGAAAAAAAGTTGGCAAATTTATATGCGCATAACTCTGATTGTACTAAAGGTTTCAACAGTGATAATGAGGATGAATTTACAGGATTTTGAGACACTTCTTACCTTTATTAATAAGAGTAAAACATAACAATAATGGTTATCATTTTCATTAATTCACTTTTGCAACCATTTGCTGGGATAGGTATGTATGGCCTGTTACGATTTGTAGGGTCAGCTTATATGCGAATTTTTATAAATTCATATTAGAGTCATTTTTATGGTGTCTGCTCATATGAGAGATTGGCTCATATGCGATAATTTCTTGACTCAGTTAAAATGACATAACTTGACTTGGATCAGCAGCGTGTCAGCTTGACAGTGACAGTGTAGTGACCTGATTTGGCTTGATAATCAAACTTCAAAATTTACAATAGGAGTGATTTTATTTCTTTCATCATGACAGCCCACACCATGAGTGTGTGTCTATCTTAATATTTTTTAAATACTAATAATATCAAACACTAACACGTCCAACACAATAACCCTAAAATGCTATTTACTTTTGATTCTTCTTTTTCAGCGAGCAACTACCCCCCTCCACGGGTTTCAAAATACACAGAATACGCATCGCCTCAAAGAACAACATATTCATCATCAAGAAGACCCTACACGGCCCCCCATACCCAGAAGGGCACGCAGACCCCATGGTCCCAACCTGAGCACACTACGAGATCACCTAGAATTATTCGAAGGCCGGCGTCCAGTAGTTCAAGCACGACGTCTAAGTTCAACTCTGTCAGGAGACCTCCTTATGCTCGTGAGTGTTTTATTTTGTGTGTTTCATACACATTTTTTGAAGCAAGGCCCTCAAATAAAAGTAGATAGAGTAGTTAGTTATCCCAGGATAGCGAGGCTGATAAAATGACTTAATTGTAGTTGTATGACAAACCATGGCTCCTTGTCTAGTTACCAGTACATGGGATAAGACAGCTTCTTTTTATTTTCAGATGCGTAGACTTGACAGTGCAGGTAGACGTAACCCGCCAGCGGTCTTGTGAACCATTCTATGTTGGCGAGTACAGCAATCCTCTCGCACATATTTATCCCTATGGGATTCGAACTGTGTACCAACGCAGGGAAATCAGAAGTGCGTATTTCCCACGCTTGGCACGATGTGCTGCACCGCCGAGTTAATATATACCAGGGGTGGGCACACCGCGGCTCGCGAGCCACATGCAGCTCGCCAGACTTTTTGTGCGGCTCTTCTCGCTAACTTAAATTATTATCCAAATTTTAACTAAGAGAAAAAATTTAATGTAAACTCTTTTAATTTATTAAAAGTCGTAAAGAAGTTTTCGTCAATAATTAGGACAAGTTATGTTTTAGTATAAAAATCGCTGTAGCGTTGAATTTTGAATTTAAGTCAGTCAAGTCAGCAAATCTTTCGTCACAATAGTTAATGTTTATTGATACGACGGCGGTATCGCAGCTTGATTGCGGTTAGTTAGTCTAAGTTACTGTGCGATATGTCCTCAATTAAAAAACGAAAGTACGAAGATGAAAACAGAGTTGTCAAGTCAGAATGGGAAGAAGAATACGCATTTACCAGTCAGGAGAATGAACCTTTGGGCTTAATCCGTCATAAGCTACTAAGTCAGAATAGCAATGTTAAACAGCACCATGAAACGAATCATGGAAACTTCTTACAAGACTACCCTCGTAAATCAGCTATAAGGAAACAAAAATTAAATGAGCTCAAATTGTGCATATATTTGAGCATAGCTGCCTTGTTTATATACCTATTTATTTTTATTAGACTCTTGTGTGAATTTCTTTTCTGTTCATGGTATTTTGATAATATTAATAAATTCACAAAGTCTGCGGCTCTTTGAAAATGTTCTGACTTGCAGCATGCGGCTTTTATACTAAAAAATTGTGCCCACCCCTGGTATATACTGATTGGCGAAATACTTAATTTGTTTTTTTTCACAGCGCGAATGATGGATGCTACGGCAACCAGTGCGATGCAGTCGTACCCAGCAGCCCCAAACAACGCAAAACTTCCAGAATACGATCCACTGTACGACCCTCACTTGATGGATTTCTACGCCAAGAAATATGGACTGAGACCTCAGCCACCAAGAGGCAGCATGGTTAGTACAAGTGTGGAGTATTTGATCGTGAATGGCATTTCATATAACAAACAAGTCTTCAAGTCTTCACACGAGCTAGAGGGCTGCAAAGCTAGATAAATTTTTCTAAAGTCTAAATCTAATATGAACCAAATAAAGCTTTACACGATAGGGGCTTTGAAATAGAGAAAAATTTTGCAAAGTCGAAAAAACTTGTTCATATAAAAACGACTCTGACTTGATACAAATATTGACTTCAAATACTGGTTAATGGAAATTTCAACTTCGCTCCCAATCTGGTAAAAACCGGATCGTAACAACAATTTTGACGCAAATCATGCAGCTCTTCTTCACCTTGTCCTGTTTCCAAATCTTGAACTAGAGTTTCCAATGCCTTATTTGGAAAATCAACCTAAAAGTAACATATTATTACCTCTTTGCTAATGGGGAAATGGAAAAATATAAGTTCATGCCTATTGCTGTTGCAAATACAGAATTTGTACCCAATGTTTATTAAATCTTGAAATTTTTTCATGATAATGTGTCCAGTGGTTCAAGAGTTACTTTAGCTTGGCAGCTGCGTGTATTTAGCCTTGTTCAGAGGAATAGAGGATAATACGTCATAAAATATTAGATTATTAACTTAATACTAATAATATTCAGGAGCGTCGTTGGTCAGTCACAGGACACGGAATGAATTCATCAATGTCCGGGTCAGTAAAATCTTATCGATTTGGATCAGCAAAGGAAAGGAGGAGGTTTGTGGACTTGTAGGATTTTTCACTAAACTTTTTTTTTAAATTTCCTAAAATGACTTTTTATAAATAAAATTGCTATGTAGCAACCAAGAGCTCTGTTGCAGAGCAAACTGTCTCTACATACTTAAATCTACTGGTACTGGATTTTGAACAAGATGAATTTAGGAGTTCATAGCAACAAAAGAGCATAATATTGTTTTTCACAGATCTTTCGTTTCAACACAGTTAAGCTTTATTAGGTATAGCCAATCCACATTTCGAGATACTCATCAGCAATTATGCCTGGTAAATTTTATACTAGGTTGAATAAGGTCTTGCTGTATTTTTGCACAAACATTTTCTTTTGGATTTCAATTACTTTTCCATTACATCTTGTCATAAATACTGGGACTGTATTGAAAATGCCACTTTGATCTTACAAGGCACAGCATATTTTCCCTAATAAAGAAATTTATTGCAATTATAAATAATATTTTCCGTACTTCATGCAATGTTTCAGTTATGAAGGTTACGGGGTTCGCAGTCGAAGAAAAGCGAAAAGAATGCAAGAGATTGAATATAAAGTTACTGTGAGAACCGGAACAAAACAAGGATGCGGGACTGATGCCAGGGTGAGTTTTAAACACTTTATACTCTGGGAAAGGCTCAAATCAATCGGCAACTGCTAGGTTAGGGCTACTATTACTACTCCAAGTAATTTAGTTGAGGCAGCAAGAATTGTTACTTATCGATCTTGATAGGTAAGTATGTTGATAAATATTTGTTTGTCTGTTAGACCCTTTCGTATGTTACGCGATATCTCACGAAAGCAAGGTTGAATCTGCTCCAATTTTTGCATGTGCATTCATCATATCTCGGATCAGGAGCCTATTGATTTTGGATGAATTATGTCGTATAATTAGCGAGTAATTAATTAATTAGTGATCGGACACACGGTGTCACTATGGAGTAAGAGCGGATCAATCGAAACCGCAGTTTTTGTTTTGGGGATCCCCTAATTTTTGATCGATAAGTCTTCGGTCCCCGACCAATATTCTCGTTTGTCTGTTAGACACTTTCGTATGTTACACGATATCTCACGAAAGCAAAGTTGAATCTGCTTCAAATTTTGCACGGGCATTCATCATATCTCGGCTCAGAAGCCTATTGATTTTGGATAAATGATGTCGTATTATTAGCGAGGTATTAATTAATTAGTGATGGGACACGTGGTGGAGTAAGAGCATATGGATCGCAACCGCAGTTTCTGTTTTGGGGAATCCCCTAACCTTACGATCCATAAGTCTTCGGTTCCTGACCGATATTCTCGTTTTCTCATTGGGTGGATATCTGTTATATCATCTTTCTGCAGTAATATGAAATGTCAGTATTCTGTCAGTATCAAATAGTTTCCCTTATAGTCTTGACAGGGACAAACTGTGGCCTGCGAGATAAATCCGGCCCGTTGGGTAATACAATCTGGCCCGCCGGATGCTGTCACAACCAGACTAAAATAAAATTTTGATGTTTTAGCTAAAAAAGAGCTCAAGGATTTTGTTGAAAATGCAATTGCATTTAGTTTTGATCTGAGGCTTCTGGTTTTCCACTATTGCTTTTGTAACACTGTAAATATTGTTCGTAAAACTTAACTTTTTTCGTCACACTTACATGGCCCGCCAGTCTAGTTGGGCAAAATTTTTGGCTCTGGTCTAAAAACCTCGCCCATCTCTGACATTGTCCAAATTTTTCTTTGAATTTTCAGGTATTCTTGAGAATCAATGGTCGGCAAGGCAAGACTCAAAAGACAAGGTTGTGCAAGAAATCGGGGCAATCCAATATTAATATGTTCAGATTTGCAAAAGGATCTTCACATACTTTCAAAATAAGAGGTAAATTTTGCGAAGATATTTTTTGTAGTATTTCGCATTTTTGTTTGTTTTTTGGACTAACTACTTATCCTTCTTCTATGCTTTTGTCGGTTCTTGCATTTTTGTTCTTATCTAGTGCTATCGATTAATAATCCTATGCTTTCGTGGTGGTTGATTCGTATGCTTATAATTTAGATTACTATTCTGAGTGATTCAAGGGTCTTGCTGCACACTAACACAAATGCATCTCTGTAACATTTTGTCTAACTGAATTTTGACTTCAGTTTCCAACTCGGGATCGACTTCCCGACTTGTTGATGAACTTTTGGCCCTTACCCAACTCCCAACTTATAGAAAATTCTAATTTTGACCAAAAAAACTTATAACAACCTTTGCTATTAGGTTATTTTAGTAACAAAAACTTTGGTTTATACAAGCCTCCGTTAATTAGCTGTTGAGAACGCTTAATTTTTGAATTTTTGCAGAAAATTTGATTTCGAATCCAGAAATTCTGTCTTACGGTAGATTATGACTTTTAGGAAATCGACATTAAAATATATAAATATCAATTAAACATACCAAGCTCTGCCTCCAGCTTGAGTGGGTTATTGCTCAGAGTCATATTCTGAGACAACACTGTTAAAAAAATAATAATTTTTTTATTTTCAGGAATGGATGTTGGAGAAATCAAAAGCATTGTGGTTGAAAGTGATGGATTGGAAGAAAGACACAGCTGGTTTCTCCAGGTATATGGTTTCATTATTACTTATCGATCTTAAAATCGGTAAGTATGTTGATAGGTATTTGTCTGTCTGTTTGTCTGTGTGTTAGATGCACGCGATATCTCACGGAAGCGAGGTTGAATCTGCTCCAAATTTTGCATGTGCATTCATCATAGCTCGGATCAGGAGCCTATTGATTTTGGATGGATTATGTCTTATTAGTAGGTTATTAATTAATCAGTGATTGGACACACGGTGTCACTATGGAGTAAGACCACTGTTTTGGGGGATCCCCTAACCTTCGATCGATAAGTCTTCGATTTCTAACCGATATTCTAGTTTATTTATTTGCTCAAAACAAAGCCCCGTTTATGCACTAAGAAGTGAAATAAGACCGGTCTCTGAGTAAAGTTACAGGTAATTACTCACTTGGCGCGGCAGTGTGGCTCAAGGCGCGGCGGTGTGGCTCAACGGGCTAAGCAGTAGGAATACGCTCGCCACCGCACCTCTAATTACTCTGCATGGGTTCCCAGGTTCGAATCCCATGCAGGGATGGTTATGTGCGAGAGGATTGCTGGACTCCTCGTCGTCGTTGGGTGGTTCACGTAACCGCTGGTCGGTTACGGCTTCCTCCACCACCAAGTCCATGCTTCCGAAAAACAAACAATATAACTAATCCCATACCCAACTTGGAATGGTAACCGGACGAGAGGCCGTGGTTCGCCATATGGATAAGCCGTCTTGTCAGCTTTCCTCTCCCCCAGGATAAATATGTATATCCTATCCTATCCTAAAGGTATCTCATCCCAGAGCAAAGCCCAGAGACATTATACAGATTTAAAGCGGTAATTGTATTTAGAAAATGTCGAAAACCGTACACGGCTGAGGATTTTTTGGTGCAGTTGAGTTTTAATTCATTTGAATGTTCGATTCATTTCAAGCTCTGTATTACTGATCAAACAAAACTAGTCTGATTTACTTCTACACAGACTTTTGTCAGTTTTATTGGGCCATATAAAAGGATTTATAGGGGAAAGCAAATAGTAAAGAGATTGTATTTCTTATTGGTTGTCTAGACCAGGGCTACTCAACTATTTTTACCGAAGATCCGCATACAAAACTTCAAAAATATTTGGGTCCGGTCTTTCCAGAAATTGTATTTCGGCATCCTTAAACACGCACTTCCTCGACCGGTTAATGATTATTAGCTAATCAAGATTGTTTATTATTGCGTTATAGTTCTTTTCATATATATTCAAAACTATAAAAGTCTAATTATAAAAGGAAACTTCAAAAGTGGGGCTATTGATTCAAAATAAAGAATTTGGCGCGGTCCGAATCAAATACCCGAAAGGGGCGGATTCGGACCGCAGGCCATCAGTTGAGTAGCTCTGGTCTGGACAGTTGTTTTACTAGGCTGTGCTGATGAAACTTGCATAAAGCAGCACGCACTCACTCAAGAGTAAAGGATACTCATCTCTGAGTAAAGTTAGACGCACTCACTCAAGAGTAAAGGATACTCATCTCTGAGTAAAGTTAGACGCACTCACTCAAAAGTAAAGGATACTCATCTCTGAGTAAAGTTAGACGCACTCACTCAAGAGTAAAGGATACTCATCTCTGAGTAAAGTTAGACGCACTCACTCAAAAGTAAAGGATACTCATCTCTGAGTAAAGTTAGACGCACTCACTCAAAAGTAAAGGATACTCGTCTCTGAGTAAAGTTAGACGCACTTGCTTAAAAGTAAAGAAGACTCACCTCTGAGCAAAGTTACAGGCACTCACACAGAAGT